CATGTTTTGTGACACTTAAAAATTTTTTCAGCTCGACTCAGTGGTGTCGACTGCCGGTCAAGGTTTTTAAAACACTAAATGGCCGGCAGTTCTATATTCTTAGTAAATTTCACAAAATCGAAAGATTCCAGCTAATGTAAACTATCATACGTCGATTTAGAAAAGTCAAGCGATCCTGAAATGCTTTACAGATCTCAAGTCTAATGTTCGGTTTACGCTGAACCATGTTTTGTGACACTTTTCAGCTCGACTGCCGGTCAAGGTTTTCAAAACACTAAATGGCCGGCAGTTCCATATTCTCAGTAAATTTCACAAAATCGAAAAAAAACAGCCATAAGTATAAAAGTGTCCTGACACCTCTTTTCCGCGACTCACAGAGGTTACTATCATCACACCCAGTCAGGTTTTTATCTGTTTTTATTGTGCCTGGTGTCACGCCACGCTTTGGACAGAAAACAGTAACGAACATCCAAAGGCTCGCGACCAACAAAAATATGATATAGAAATCCCACGAAACCGGCTGGTTTGATCAGGATCACGACATGTTATAGTTTAGATCAGCTGGAATTTTTCGATTTCTTGAAATTTACTGAGAATATAGGACTGCCGGCCATTTAGTGTTTTGAAAACCTTGACCGGCAGTCGAGCTGAAAAGTGTCACAAAACATGGTTTAGCGTAAACCAAACACTAGACTTGAGATCTGTAAAGCATTTCAGGATCGCTTGACTTTTCTAAGTCGACATATGATAGTTTAGATTTGCTGGAATCTTTCAATTTTGTGAAATTTACTGAGAATATAGAACTGCCAGCCATTTAGTATTTTGAAAACCTTGACCGGTTACCGGCCAGTGGCCACATTGCCACAGAGCATAAAGTTTATATATACCTCGCGGTTAAAATCATGTCGTCCGCCAGGATTTTTAGCAGAGACACTTCAGTAAATGCTGACATGTTTTTGCATTTTCAAAACAGGGAATTCACTAATATTGCCAAGATCTGCAAAAAAACTTCTTCACTTCGTATGAACACAAGTTCAGTTTTCACCTACCGTTGCCTCTGAGAGGACGTCCAAGTAGCAACGCATAGCCTTCTCTCGGTCGTCATACTTGTAACACCTCTGCAGCGTAACAGTTTTAAAATGAACTTTTCTACGAATAAAGACAAAACAATAAGGCTTCGAAATATCGGAGAACTTTATCACACTCCTGCCTAAAGCCAGTGACTTCTCGGCTTGTTTATACCTTACACAGTACGTATTTGTACCCTCGATCGTGGTCGCGCGCTCTCGTTCTGCATTGTCTCTTGCTGTGTTCACTTAGTCTAATCTTCTGATTGGGTGAAGCAAACTTTCTTGCCTTCTGATTGGCTCATCAACGTGGTCACGTCGTTCAGTGCGATTTCCACGATTTCTGGTTTTTAAAAAAAAGGGGGTTTTCCCTCACTGTCGGGCACCTCCCACTGTTGTCGTTTTCCCCAGCGACAGAGCGCAAAAACCGCAAGACATGCGCACTAAAGCTCTCGCCTCTGTTTCTTGTATTCCCGCCTTTCGATTTTCAAAATGGCGGAGGACTAATCAGAATCTAACACGTCACTGCAGACGCTAGCAAGCCGCTGTATGGTGGCCGAGAACTGCCACTGAGTCTTCGGCACATTTTTTCTTTTTTTTTCTTTATTATAAGTAGATTGAATGTAAAACAAAATGAAAATAACATTTAAATCAAATAAAAACGCAATAAAATGTAAAACAAAATGCAAGTAAAATCTCAATCAAAATACAAATGCAATTGAATTTAAAATGCAAAGTTAACTCCATTCAGATTAAAATTGATTGCACTTTAAAAGAGAATGCAAAACAGAATATAAGTAGAAGTCAAAGTCAATGAAAATTCAATAAATTTTGAAAAGGGAATGGAAAACGAAGTTAGTGGCAGTGCTCGGCCATGCGAAGATTTACTTTCGTTTGAAGTAAAATTGAAAGTAAATTATTCGCGTGGCCGAGCGCTGCCACTGCCAGACCCGCCCCAGGCCTCCAAACCAATACCATAAAGCCATGCGCGCGTTTGGTTTGTATCCGCCATTTTGTTCCATGACGACAAACATGGCTGAGTCTACTTGGAAAGAGGATGATAAGTTAAAAGAAGACATGACACAGCTTGTTCAGCAAGGACTCCAAAGGATCGAGGCGCTGGACTTTCTTAAACGTGACTTCCCACAGTATCCTTGGAGCTTGAGAACTCTTGACAGGCGACTTCGTCACTTTGACATTTTCTACAACGACAAGAGTGTTGAAGTCGAAGACGTACAGACAGCGGTGGGAAACGAACTGAAAGGCCCTGGTAAGCTTTTAGGTTACCGGGCTATGCACAGAAAACTCCGCCAAGAGTATGGGATAAATGTAACCAGAGACCAAGTTTACAATGTCATGACGGAATTGGACCCAGAGGGTCTTGAAGCACGCGGCGGTATTGGGGCGAAGAAAAAATGACAGAAAGGAAATTTTACTACAAGGGGATCAAACTGGGTTCACTCGTTAGACGGCCACGATAAACTTATGGGATACCAAAATTCGACATTCCCATTGGCTATCTATGGCTGCCTTGACACAGCAAGTAGAAAACTTCTTTGGTTACGAGTCTGGACATCGAACTGTGACCCCAAAGTGATTGGACGGTGGTATTTCGATTATCTTTACGAGACAAGAGTGATGGCTGCAATGCTGAGGGTAGACAGGGGCACAGAAACTGGGGTAATGGCTACATTGCATTCCTTCTTACGAAGACATCATGGTGACATGGACCCAAGTGACTCTGTTGTTTATGGACCTTCAACTGAAAACCAGGTAGCTTAGTTACTATACAAGTTCTTACAATATACATGGAGCCATTTTTAACGTTTAGCTTTGAAATGAGGTCTTGTGAGGGGGCGAAAATTTTGCTCAAACCGTTTATAATGCTATCCTGTTGGGGTAGAGAGGGGAGGGATTATCATCTACTATACTGCTTGTAATTCTAGAGGAGACGACAGATGCTAAGTCATTACAATGTCATTTCAGGTATAGATTGCATGTACAGATTAAAAGGCCTGGTTTATGCAAAAAAGGTCATTTTTGAATTGCTATTTTGGAAACTATTTACAGCTATAATAAAGTGAATTATAGTGTATTATCGTTTGTCTCACAGTGTACAGTGTAGTCACTTGAAGGAAGTAGAACGTAACGTTTCCACTGTAAAAATTGTAAAACACGGTTGCACCACACGGTGGCTTCTGTAGTTATGCAGTCTTCAGGGCCATGTTGTAATATATTAACTAAATTCTCAGGTTATTGCTGGGAACATTCCATGCCAACATAATTGTGTTCACCTCTCACCTTGTTTGTAATTCAATCCTAGATTGAGAGATGGTGGAGAGAGCTACACGAGCGCATGGAGAAATACTATAAAGGTCATTTGTGTTGGCTCAAGGACCAAGGCCATTATCATCCACATGATGACAAAGACAGGTTGATTCACTATGCATTTCCTCAGTGTATCATTCACAGTGAAACCTGTATAAAGGGGACCTTATTAAGCGAGCACCCTGTGTTAAGCGGACACTGGAGCATTCCCCGAAGGTGTCCGCTTAATACAGGTTACACTGTGTTTATGCACCTTGGAGATTGGGCTCCATGTAACTTCCCTACCTTTTTCCTGGGGTCTCTTCTCTCTCACTCCAGGAGGGTGGGAAGATTAGAGACCCTGGTAATGAGGTTGCTAACTTCCTGTGCTTTTTGTACCTGGTAACTGTCAATGCAACTCAATATTATGATTGAACTAAAAAAAGAATTATAAAAAAACAAGCCAGTTCTAATGCATGTAAATAGGTTTTGTCTCTGGAAAGCCAAGGTTCAGTGTCAAGACATATGGAATATTATTTGTGGCGTGAATGGTTGGGAGATGTTATGTTTTTTTTTTTTTAAAATAAGCCAGACATAAAACAACCAGGGTTGTAACTCTGCGACATTTTAATTCTGTTGTGTTCCTCTCCAATCGTATAGGATGCTTCTGGCGTTCATCATGATACCGCTAATACAGAAAGATCTAGATGTCTTTAGAGAGTCGGTTTGGAACACTCATAGGATACGTGCACAGAAGGACACGATTCTTCCAGATGGCATTCCAAACCACATGTATAGTTTCCCTGAACAGTATGGCCTGGAAGAATGTGGTTTGTTTGGAACACCTGATACCATTTCAGACTTGGCATTTTTCTCGTTTTGGTAATTTTCTCTTTGAATTTTCATTTGCATTACATTACAGGTCTCCCAGTTACAGAGGAACAGCTCAAGGAGGCAGCTACTCAGTCTGGAGTGCTGACTGTTCCTGATGATTTTCTGCAGCCTGAATTTAGAGCAGAATGCGAACGTGTCTTACCAGATAGTGAAACGATTAGACCCCATGAATGCAGGGATGCATTCATTTACTTAAAAAATAACTTCCAGCTGTGATTGTCTGTATTGTAGGCACTAGTGGTCTTTAGGTTGCACTAAGCTTGTGATGGGGCAGCTGGGGGATGCTCCTTCTAGTCAATAAAGTTACATAGTGTGCATAAGTTCAAGATAGATGTGACAAAAATTATTTCTGGTAAAGAAAACAATCTCTGAAACATTTTTTGTACATTGTTTTTTTTTTATTGACTAACAACAACTGAAAATATTATGTCATATAACGTTTCAATCATTAAACTTTATAATGTTTCACTTTTATTAATTTCTTGTAACATGGAATCAGCAAAAACGAAATTCCATAGTGGTGAAAGACCCACATTTAGGACTATTGGTACTTTCTAGAACTGTAACACTATAAAAGTAACACGTTTATATTCATAATATGAAGTTGGAACAAGTAAATTTTGTATATATTTTTGTAATTATTGATGAACTATGACAATAATGTGAACACTTCTTCAAGTTTGCCATTGGAATTAACCAGTGAAAACAAAAGTTTGAGTTGCAGAGTGATGGTTACAGCTTACATCTAACGGCAAATATGTCTACTCCATGCTGTCCTACAAAGGGCAAACACAACAGCATTCCTCATTAAAAAACAACAGTATACACAGAAAAGGGGGAGGGGTGGGGGTAGCTTATGTGGTAAACATATAGCACATGTAAAAACAGCAAAACATATCAGAAATTAACTAACTTGGTCTAAGTTTCAGCTTTAGAAGCTTGCAGTAGGAGTTGCACTGATGAGCCTCAAAAAATGACTCAATTGCTCTTCCAGCCAAGTTGCCAGTACAGAACTGATAACCCCCATCCTCATTGTGTATCTCAGCTGAGGCTATTTCAGGATCGTACAAGGTATATCCTGACCCTTGGATGTCTAAAACCATAACTTTGCCTTCTGATTTCTCATACGTAAAATGAGAAAACGCCTGTGCCTTCTTACAAAGCATGGTATCTTCTTCACAGACAATTCCATTGTTGTTTATAAACTTTGCAAAGTCTCCAGGGATGAACTCCTCAACTGTTAACAGCTCCCCGTCCTCTGTTTTCCCCATGTACACAGACTTGTATTCAAACGAATCTCCATATTCGTCAAGCTTGTCCTTTGCAATTGTTTCCTTCAGCTGCGATGCAAAGTTTCTTGCTAGATATTGCATCTGTACTGACTTTCTAGTATGTTCTTCTGTGGTCTGTCCTGTATCTTTAATCAGTTGAACAGCACTCTCCAGATAACTCTTAACAACCCATGTTCCTTTATTAAAGCCTTCTGTAATGCTTGTGGCTTTAAATGCCTTTCGGAAACCTCCAGTTGCAAACTCTTTCTCTTCTATGACAAATTCAGCTTGGAGTGGCACTGATGACCATTCCATGTGAGCAAAGTCAAATTTGTAGATCAGGATTTTCTTGGCTTTGTTATCAACTACCCTTCCAAGCCTAAGTATGTCCTTGATAGAAAGGCTCTTTGGGTAAAATTTACTCGTTGCAGGCGAAGGCTTCACTGGGCTTGGATGGGAGGCAGGCCTTTTCTGTGGAACTTCATATCTTGCTTTCTTTTCCTGTGGACCAAGACAAAAAATATTGAACAAAAGGAAGAACTTGCAACCATGCTAAACTGCTATCTTGAACATTGATAAAACAAAAATTGATATAACATTTCGCCAGACTTTTAAGTTCTATAATTATCGACAATGGGGGGTGAGTATTTAATCAGGGGTTCCAGACAAACACAGAGAAACTGATGAAAGCACAAGGCTGAGGGCCAAGTGCTCACTTTTGAAAAATAATTAGTATTAACTATTGGTATTGGGTATCAAGATCCGTCCACCTCACCTAAATAAATCTTATTGACTGCTGACCCAGGGACAGATCCAAGGGGAGGGTGCAGGGGGTGAACACCCAACCCCCTGAGATGAAGCCTCTTCATATTCGCTTTTAAAATTTCTTTACATCACCAGTCAGTTACGCCATTTCTTATTGGTGTATCCCCTCCTAAGGAAAATCCTGGATCCGCCCCTGCGACCTTACGAATTATTAATGAGTTTAAGAATGCTAGTTTGTAACCTTGTAGTGGAATGTAGAAAACCATAGAGTGTTTTCACATGACGTCACGGCGGCCATATTGGTGTCCCAAAACAATGAAACGGCGGCCATTTTGGTGTCTCAAACAAATCCTGTGGGAGTTGAACTTTTTTCTTATGCAAACGCTTTCTTTTGTTCCAATAAATTTGCATAGATGCTGGCCACGTGAGTGAAAACACTCTATAGATTGTTATGAATCAGGGAACAAAAGTTTTCTAATTCTATCCTGGAAATTTCAATCCTCCTGGGACTTCATAGTATCAAATAGTACCAATAATCTAAAGTGCTGGAAGCAACAGCTGGATGCAGATTTGGTTTAATTTTGCAATTAAAACGTTTTCTAAACTTTAATACTAACAGTGGCTTTGCAAAAAGTCACTCCCCACGGATATTTCTATACACCACGAGTAAACCGGTGAGTAAACAAAACGCTTCCGCGAAGATTATTTTACTGTGACTAAAACCTCAACTACCTAAAATGTCCTTATCAGAATTCCTAGAAGAAAGGTCTTGAGTTCATAATCCAAATCCAAAGTGCAAATAAAACTCGTGATTCATTTTGATTATTACGGGTTTATTGTGCTATTACCTTGCATTCCAACGATCCATCCTCATCGGAAACGACCTCCACTCCTTCGCGTTTTATAAACCGTATATAGAACACTTTTCGGTTTGGAATATGGGCCATCTTTTCGCAAGATGGCCCGCGCTCTCCAGCCAGTACGTCACAGATAAGATTTTTTTCGATCTGAGGCCTGAAGTGCTTCTTGCAGGCGTCTTTGATGTTCGCAATCGTTATCTCTTCGTGCTCAAAAGGCACGTATTCCTGGGGCCCTATCCTAGTGTATTTCTGCTGTTTGCCTGATACATCTGCACTCATTCTCTGCACTACTATTTCTTCCGCCACAGTGCTTTCCTCTCCTGTTTTCTTGCCTTTTCTCTTAGCCTTCTGAATGGCGGCATACCGCCTCCACTCCGCCATGTTGACGACTCACACAAAACGCGCGCATGGCTTTATGGTATTGGTTTGGAGGCCTGGGGCGGGTCTGGCAGTGGCAGCGCTCGGCCACGCGAATAATTTACTTTCAATTTTACTTCAAACGAAAGTAAATCTTCGCATGGCCGAGCACTGCCACTAACTTCGTTTTCCATTCCCTTTTCAAAATTTATTGAATTTTCATTGACTTTGACTTCTACTTATATTCTGTTTTGCATTCTCTTTTAAAGTGCAATCAATTTTAATCCGAATGGAGTTAACTTTGCATTTTAAATTCAATTGCATTTGTATTTTGATTGAGATTTTACTTGCATTTTGTTTTATATTTTATTGCGTTTTTATTTGATTTAAATGTTATTTTCATTTTGTTTTACATTCAATCTACTTATAATAAAGAAAAAAAAGAAAAAATGTGCCGAAGACTCAGTGGCAGTTCTCGGCCACCATACAAATCTATAAAAGTCAATGACCAACAACAAGTGTCTTTTTCTTGTGTTTTTTAAACTGTAAGTTCTTCTCAAATTGTGATCTTAAGATTTTGTTACGTGAAAATACTTGGCTATAAGATGCACCCCAATTTTAGCACTAACTTGCCACCCAAAGACAGATTTTTCTTGAAAAAACCGTGCGCCTTATAACCGAATCACTACGGTAAACAAGATTGTAATCATTATGGACTTACTGGAGATCTGGGCAACATGGTTTTTTGACAGATATGAGAGAGTGAAAGAATCTTTAACTTACACATTCCACTTCTTATTTACACAACCCTGCGATGCCAGCGATGGTGACTATTTACTGTATGTGTCTAGTGGAAAGCAAACTTGGGTTGGGGGGCTGGTCTGCAAAAAAATTTTTTCAGGACTTTGGGCCTCAGTTTGGTCTGAAAATGCCACTGCAAAGGGGTCAGAACTGTGTTTGGAAAGGTAGAGAGGTTATGTGGTTGGTATGCCGCATTGAAGACATAATCTAACTCCAACCGACTCAATAAATAATGGGAAATGGATTATTTATCAGTTATTTGCACAGTCCCACCAGTTTCTTGCCATTCTATTTATTAGGCAAACCATTAGAAAAGCTATGGGAGGAAGTGGGGAGAGGGAGGAACAAGCACACACACACACACACACAAAATTAATGCAAGGGAAAAACAACTAAAGAAATAATGGACATGTTAACAAAAACATTCATGCAGCTCAAAAACTTCCCCACCCCTTCCATAACTTTTCAAATTAATGGTCCACCCCCGATAAAAGCAACCACATCAGCCGGTTTACATGCAGTGACATCATGGTAAACATTTTGGTAGTCAATAACGAGAGCATTTCTCTCTACTAGAAACTTTAAACTCTGTTCTCATACAAATTCTGTGTAAAAAAATATGTGTATTTTGTATTGATCACCAAAATAGCAACCATATCATCTGGCAAGGTTGCTATTTTGCAATGTTCTGATGAAAAGGCTTGCTTTTAAATATTTGGTGGTAATTTTCGTACGCTATCTAGTAACAAATTATTGATAATTAGTAGTAAATTTGTTCTCACATCTGTCAGTTCTGACGAGCCGACCCAAAGAACGTCCACCAGCAGTAAAACAAAAACCCCCAACAACAAGCGTCGTCTCCGCCTAACACTCTCATCCTGTGACACAATAAACTGCACTGTTGAAGCCCACATCGAACGGAAGCAGCAACAAAGACGACTGCTACTTGCAGAAGACATCTTCGATCTTTAATTCCTTTAAAACTTAGTACGCTTACTTCGCTGTGATTTAACCCGCAGACGAAGATGTTTCATGGTACCATGATACTAAATAAAGACAGAAATGAGTTGAGTACAAAAAAAGACATATTATAATGACCGGGATTATAGGAAAAACGCTTTTTTAAAAAATAAAAATGTAAAAATAAAAAGACTACTGACCTTCTCGTGACATGGCCGCCATCTTGGATTGCCATGGTTAAACGCGGGCTCATGTCCCAGGCCTCCCCAAACGAACTTAGGGAATTTCTGTCTAGCTCTTTCTCGCTGTTTCACGGGTTTCATACTTTCATATGCACAAGAACAGCGAGTAAAAACACCCAGAAGATACTCATTCACAGCTAGAACGACAGCACAACACCCAAAAGGGTCTATTGCTCCCAAGCTTCTTACCCGGGGGAGGTACTCAACAAACGTTTATACGGGAAGGCTCCGCCCCGAGGTTCAACCTGGTACCTTTTTATATACCATTTTTCACGAAAAAGTTACCCCTTTTGTATACCTTCTATTGACAAATGGTACCCCTTTCACATGAATATACTTTGCTTCTTACATTATGCAACCAAATGATCAAATTATCCAAAAAATAATGCGAAACGTTTCACGTTTACTTTATTGATTTAAGACACTACAACCGACAATGCATAATATGTGAACATATTTTACTCACTTTTTAAAGCTTTTTAACTTAACGAAAGCCTTTTTTTGTATAAAATAGGAGTGGCGAAAGAAGTAAATAAAGTTTACTCTTTAGGAGAATCATACTATGAGAGTACATGTAAATCCACGACAAGTACCACTCCCTCGAGGCGGAAGCACGCCTTCACCTCCTTTATTGCGACAAAAACTGAAAAGAGTCAATGTTTTTAAAATGACATGACATTTCAAGAAAATCTTTCGCCACCCCCTTCATAATTTGCAGCTATACATTATGACTACATTGTGGAATATACGTTTTCATCGAGAAAATAACTAGAAAATTTCACCACTGTCTCTGATACCCTACATTCCCTACACAACCCTCCGGCCTAGCTGTCTACATAAAGAAACAATAATCCTACTGTAACTACGTGGCATTATTTTTAAATCGATGCGATATTAGTATGATTGTAGACCGCAAGCGGTCGTACCTTCTCGCCTCAGAGCCATGCGCGGCGAGAGAAAAAAGTAAAATTATGCAAATTAAAGCTTCCGCCCACGCGTGCTCTCAATCTACTACCGCGATACCGACTCAAAAAAAATGATAAGAGACAGCTCGCAGTCTACATGATTGTAAACCAGTGTTACACATTTCGATAAATGTATTAACATCATGGTCATTGCTGCTTCGCAAAAATAACAATAAAGGCGGTTTTCTAGCGTTACTTCTAAACGAAATAGACTATATAGTAAAGTCATTCGGATAGGACTAAAACGATGATTTTCCTCCCACAAGGTTAAATACGGGCAAACATTATCAAGGCGCTTATAGCGATAAGGCTACAAAACAGAATATATTCTGATTGTAGGTATTTGCATGTGCAGCATTTAACTGTACGAATATTTACATCGACACTGGTAGAAATATTTGGGGTCATAATACCCTCCCCCCGCCCCCTCCTGTATAGGAAAGTCACATTCTCCAGTAAGCGTAAACTTGTGTAATGGAGAACATGACCTTTTTTCTCACATTTTCAATAACAACGCTTATATCAAGCAGACACTTCATTTGAGCGGATAATGATCAACACAAGCTAGGGTCGGTAACCGCCTTTCCTTTTAAACCCTCATATAAAAGAATACAAATCAACATTTGTTGTCCTTGTACATTTCCAAAATGGTAGCCTGTTCTAGACTCGGAGGCCGGAAGCAAAAGAGTGGGGAAGATGCGAAAGCCAGGAAGGTACCCGAAAAGGGGGGGGGGGAAAGAGAAAAAAGAAAACCCATCCTTTCCCCAGTTTCCTCCCGCGCCGCGTTCTGAGAGCTTAAAGGGCTAATATAGGTTTGTTTTAACATGTCATTATTAAAGAAGCCTTGAGTAAGATCAAATGGTAAAAAAAATCTTTAAAATGAGTTATAAACGTATCTAGGACCTAACGCGAAATTAACGGCTATATATGTTAATGCACTAACATTTCTGTAGAAAAACATTATTGCTAATAATTATTAATACTAATGACTATCATTGAAGCTCTCTTTCGCAGTTTTTCTACTTGGCTGCTGTATTCATGTTGTTTTATAAGATGCAAAAATAATTTTATGGAGTTTTTACAGCCAAGAAATTGTGCTTCCTAAGACTAAAGGAAAATACTTAGATGTTTTTATTGATCTCAATCTTGATCATCACCGCATCACCTTTAGAGTACTGTGGGGTGCAAACCATGTCGATGGGCGCAAACTCTTCGTAGCCATACAAGGTGGTGTATCGCCCGGCAGCCGTGGGTTCCTGAAAAGCTCCCAGATTTCCGTTAGCCGTGAAAGTGCCACTGACATCGTTACAGAACCTGTGAGCATCGTTGCTTTGATCCAACAGGGAGAGAGATATTTGCCCGCCGAATGGCCATTCGAGCCTGTTATCCAAATCCCCCTGCATCATGCCAACAAACAGGCCAATGTGTCTTCCATCTCCACCATCAACGCCTTTCGGGAAGATACGCATGAAGAACTTGTACCCACAAGGGAAGCTAGTGTAAATCGGAGGACTCTCAAGTGATCTTATCTCTCCATTGCTTGCGTCCTGGAGGAGCTGAGAGAAACTCTCTATTTTCCAAGTATAATTTCCACGACAGATCTGACCTTGAGTTAAGAAATGTTCTGCTGGACTTAACCTGTTGAGGGTTGTTTTATGAGTGGTAGCATGAAGAAAAAAAAATTGGAAACAGTTACTAACAAACTTGGATGCCACAGCTGCCTGAAAATGTAAACTTTGACCCCTCTACGAGTATGGGGTCATTTTGACCTTTTACCTGCGATCCAGCACAACCCTGATGGATAAAACGACACAAGTGACAAGAACTGACCAAACTCAAGATAGGCCTCGAGTTAGTAACAACACTGCCATCTGTGCAACATAACTGAAACTTGAGATGTGCTGATCAACAGAGAATGAGGTTCGCCTGATCGCAGGTTATGACCTGTAATTTTACGATGTTTACTTAAAATTTCACGGGTTTCTTTAAATCCTTACTAACACGTATTGATGAAATGAGGTAGGTAGCAACCACAAAAGAGAATCTCAGAAACTAAACTGTTAATTAAACGACTCATGATTTTGCCATGTATACTGATCAAATATTGCGATTCCAATCATTTCCAGGAGTAACATAACGCACTGATAACCCGTGGCCAGAGAAAGAAAGCTCTCGATCGTTGAAAGAAATTAGGGTGTAGTGCGGAGTGTTCGTTTACTGACCTGTCTAAAGTCTGCTGTCGAAGAAATCTAGATGCACGCATGCGTTCACGTCCTTGGTTCTGCTCCGGAAATTGGCTGGTCTCCTCGACAGATTCAGAACACCCGATTCCATCGTTCGACTCAGTTGCAACAGTCCATCCTCGCCTGCAGTGCATATTAGTTGTTGCGTACTGCAATGGATTGAAATTCAAATTCTTCACAATAAGCTCCCTCATCGGGAGATGAGGATAGCTTGGTGGCACAACTGACAATGGTGAGATCCCTTGGGGATCCATCAGCCCATTGTGAAAACCTGCAGCGTTAGCCTGACCAATAGAATGATGCTGAGATCCATGTTCTGTCTGTTCTCCAGCATGAATGAGATGATATACGCCTTGAATGGGTTGACCACCGATGGCCTAGAAAAGAGTGGAAATACGTATTTTTAGACCAGCATAGATTAGGAGATATTATCACTTTCTTGTTAAGTTGTCTCATAATAATTGCCGGTCAAGAAACAGTTAACTGTCACAAAAATGTGAGTCCCAGCCTTCAACTATCACCAAAGCGGGTCCTCGCAGTCTAGCTGTGCTGATGCCAAAACTTGGAAAATGTACTAAACAGATAAATTTAAACCTCCCTTTTTTTTTTCAAGTCACAACTTGCCTGCGTGCAGACGTCTCCTATTTCCTTTGTTGTCCCTTTTCCACGTGCAACAAAGGAAATAGGAGACGTCTGCACGCAGGCAAAGTCACAACTTGCGTTAGGATTTAGGAGATTTTGATTTTGGCAACGTGCTTTATGGAAACACGAGCTGCAGAAACATTTTCTAGTGCTAGTGCAATAAAAAAGTAGGCGTTTATCTTTTGTACTAATGTTGGGAGGTCTTGATATTGTCTATATTGGATACTGCATGACAGGCACCTCTTGAGCTTGTAAATATCTACCTACCCCTTGCTCTATTGGCTCTCTTGCAGCTGAACCAACTGCATGTCCTGCAACTGCATTATTTTCCCTATAAGAGAAAATTGCAAAATATAACATTATCCTAGCCGCCAGCCTTATCGTTAAAAACTTAGATTGCTTCATGAATTTTAATAACGGGGACTGGTTGCTGTTTTAAGGTAACCAAGTTTGCTTTAACAAAGCAAAAGGTTAAATATTTTTGGAACAGCATAGGGGGATTTCAGTTTTTTGGGGGTGGGGCGGGGGCGTGTGGATCAGTTCAACTTGAACCGTATAGACTCGGTTGCCCCTTCCCGCTCTTCACTTACGGCAGTTTAAGATACCAGTCATTCATTCTCGTGACAGTTCAGCTCTCCTGAGAACGGTCTGGTTTCTGAAGATTTTGTCTGACGCTCTGGAGACGAGTGTTTATATCTGTTCTTTATAAGTTGGTGAAACGTCAACGGAAAGGGGGGAGAAATCCAATAAACAAATAATTATACATCTTGACTTGTTAGCGAGCTGGGTTCGATAGCAAGTTAATGAATATAAAAAAAAAATCAAGGCGAAATCCCACCGTTTCCAGGGGCAATAAGATCAAGAACTTCTTTAGCGAATAGGAAATAAGTTCCTTTCTCATGGCAAAAAAATCCTCCTATCACGAATTTATTTCTCGGTGGGTCCTGAAAAGGAAATTTTCCAAGTTTTACTTAGATTCAGTTATAAAAAAGGGTTCACGTCATATGCTCAACAAATTTTCCTATTATTTGACAATTGATTAATGTACGTCCCCATACCAAAAAATAAAAACAGATAAATATAAAATGAAATAAAATAAAATCTTAACCAAGGACAAAATTGCATCACGACAGATACAATTTACAGGTCGACTAAGCGTGACCTGCCTTGGAACAGAATGACGTCAACAGATCAAAGCTTTCTGATTGGTTCAAACGTACATAAATTAAAGCATTTACAAATGCAAACCTGAACGACTCATCACTGAGCTATAAAAACAGTTTACACTTTGGTGTCGTTTAAATTCAGTTTTAAAGTAAGTGGACTAATCCCTTTTTGGAAATAAGTGAAAGAAGACAAACGACTAATTTATTGTTTTCTACAAGAAACTGAAGAGGGTTCCATAGCAGTTCCACATCGAGATTGACACTACTTCCGGCATTGATATGCACTTCACAAGAACAAGCAGTCAATTCATCGAACTTCGTGTTGGTTAATCTTGGACTTAGGATGCGAAAAGATTCAGTGGACAACGATCAATCATATCCAAGCATTGCTTCAAAAGTACACCTAGAAGTATACTTCGAAACACTGGTACGTACGCTTCTTCTTCATCATACAGTTTATACCTAACCATGGGGAACCTAACTAACCTAGAGAACTGACTCTCTGTATTTATTCCCGGGATTTATTTCGATGTTTAATACATCAGGGGCGCCCAGCGACTATATTCTGCAAAAAAACTGTTCAAAGGAGCAAATTTTATCTAGAAATTTCTAAGGCTTGAGAAAAGATAAAAATTTCTGGATAACCGTTCCATTCGTCTAAAATATTCGGAGGTTTTCTAATAGCTTGACTACGATTTTCGGAGGTTGTGTTTTCACATTTTAATATCTAGATATTGCGATTATTTTTTTTTAATGTCTCCTAAAACTTTCGGTATAAAGACTTAACGTCCCATGTAATTTTCTAAAGCAAGGCTACTTCATGTCCTCGAACTTTCGGCCAGACAAATGAGGGTAACTAACACTTTCGGATGAGACGAAAAAGCCATCTAAAACTTTCGTGAGTACCAAAGTTCCCCTAAGACATCCGAACAGATAAATAGTTTTTAAGGCAACTCCAAATTGACCAAACAGGCTTCTAAAGCATAGAGAAAACCATCTGAGACACTTCTGGCGTATTTTGAAACATTGGGAAGTTGGATACCCCTGATGCATTTTATCATACATGTTGCCTGCTTCGTTTGCTGGTGATGAAGCACGTTAGGCAAAGGAAATCCGTACGCACAAGCCGTTCCGGGTGCTAGCTAGAGAGGATTACAGTATTTTAAGAAAGGAACAATCAAGTGCAATACATTAGTGAAGTTAGTACCTTCATTGTTCCAAATCTCGGGGACGATTCGTCATGCAATAGACCTTTCGATGGTTTTTTTCAACTCTTGACATAGACAAGTAAAGGAAAATCCATCGACTCCGCTGGCAAGAGCGTCTTTAAATTTGAATACCGCCAAATTTGAAAGTCATTTGTTGAAAACTAGCTAAGACATAGCTCCTCAAAGTCGCGAAAAATTTATAGACATTTGCATGATGGGAGAGGGGGACAAACTTGCCCTCCCCCCCACCACCACCGCCATATATTTAAAGTACATATTCGAGTTCGTGTGATATAAGACCACGTGAAGATACCTTCGGTGAACCAGTCGAGTTTTTTAGAGGTTTCCCTGATTTCGTGATCATATGAGAAGGATGTGATGGCTGTTTCCTCAGTGGTCCGCATCAGGCTGCAAGCCAAAAGTGTTGTTCAAATAGGCACATTGTTTCACAGCTAAAGCTTTTGATGTATTCGAAATACCTTGATCTATGGCATTTAAAATAAAAATTTTTCGTTGAACATACAAATCTTTTCTGTCATTTTTGCAAGGCACAAAATCGCTATCAAACACTTTACTGTTTCATACAGCCTCAAGGCACACGAAAGCAATATCCGAATCCATCAATACATGGTCATCCACCCTTAAACGGTTTTATCAACTTTTGAAATAAACCAGTAGGCGAAAATGTATCAAAACCACTGGAAAATGAGCCTAAAAATCAGTAACGTTTGCTAAATTTGATAGTGGTATGTTGACAACTAACAAAGATATGGTTCGGAGAAGATACAAAATTGTACATGTGGACAAACGTAACTTCCGTCCATATTAACTAGTGTGAAACATCCCTCCCTGTGAAATTCAGTAGCCTGCGTAGCGGGCGGCATTATAAATATATTGTTATGTAGGTCAATAAAAAACGGCAGCTAAATAGCTGATGTGATGTGATGCGCGGAGCCGCGGGAAGAGTGGGTACAAGTCAAGTCAAGTCGCGTCGAGGGATTTTCCCTCGTATCTTTGCCACTCGCTTCGAGTGAAAAATGATCATGACCGAGGTGGAAGAACCGCCACAGACACCTACGCAGCTTAGAAATTCAGTAGGGCATTTGCGGAGCTATATTATTTGCTTGTTTCTGACCAATCCCTCTCGAAAGCTGGAAAGTTCTCTTTTCAGCAGTGACGATGGATTTTTTGGTCTGTTAGGGGCCCCGTTTTACTTCTGGCAAAGTAAGACAACTTTTTGGTCGAAATGTGAGTGGGGAAAGGACCAGAAAGTAAATCCGATGGAGGGATTGTCTCAGTTCAATGATTAAACTTAATAGGAGTAGCTTTTTTACTGACAATATTTAAAACTAAAATGCACAAAAACTTCCATTTGCTGAATTAACTGACACAGAACATTTGACTTCACAAATCATAGCGAAATAGATATCTGCTGTTCTCTCATTGGCCGAGTCATGGTGCCTTAATAGGTTCGAGGCTTAAATCTTCACGCCTGCTAAGATTTTTAGCGAAGCCACCTCAGTATCTCAGTCTTGTTTAGGCACTTTTCTTAAAAAGGTTAAGTATTAAAACCGCAAACTTCTTCGCTTCCTATAAACCCAAGTGTTCTAAGCCTAAGCGTTCACTCACCGATCCCTCATCCCTATAGTTCCAGTACACGTACATGACTCTCTCTCGGTATTCATACTCGCAAAACTTCTGATCTGCTGCGTAACAATTAATTATACTTCGACATGTATGGTTCTTGATTCCCTGTTTCTGTTTTTCTGCTAATACATCTATTTTTTAAGTGACTCGATCGGCTTGTTATCGTGAAGAACACTACTAAATTCGTCTTCAGTGTGCGGGAAATAAACAGGTCAATGCTAAATTAAGCCTTTGTGGGTGGCTGAGATGCAGGAATTTGGGACAGATCTCTACAAAATATATTTCGCGAATTCTGATTGGCTGCAGAATCTCACTCACTGTCGGCGTAGCCACATCCGGTACTTAGGTGATCGGTGAGCCATGCAGTGTATCTACAGCTGATACTTATTTCTACCTACCGAGTGCAAATCGCTCTTCCGGCAGCCCTGAGATTGTTCTGAGTACTCATAATTCCAAAACCTCAACTAGTGTTGTGTTGTGAACGAAGACAAACTGAAAATTAGCAGTTTTTCTTTGGTGTTTTCGCACTTTGCAACGATCAGTGTTTGTACCAGGAGCCCATTACCCCACCCCCATAACGCCCCCAGGAAAGCTTTCTTTTGATTGACTGAGAGGTATCCAAGACTACAAAAAATGTAAATTTTATTCCAAGATGAAGTCACTGACTCGACTCGAAATTCACTAACATCAACTTGCAGCTCTTTGTGTTGGCCAGTAAACAAAGCCTAATGATCACAGGAGAAATTTCGGCCCTGTAACCCTTTCAGTCAACAGAACAATATGATCTTTGTCAGATAACACGGAAGTGCGCAAGGGCCTCTCGCGTTTCTTGCTTTGCGTTCCTCCGGTTCATCGTGCAATATTTGTTGTTTCGGAGTGTTCTATACAAAGTGAATACTTGAATAAAAAACAATTTGATGGTAGAAAATTAAAAACAGATTCTTGAGTCGGCGACAATGCACTCAGGGCACTACAGACAGAACGCCTAACGAAACAACAGTGAAGAATAGCGTGACCTGCTTGTCAGAAAACAATGACTTAGGAGATAAAAGCGTTCTCTGATTGGTAACAGAAATACATAATTAAAATTAATACATTCAGAGAAGACACGATTTCAAGAACAACAAAGCTAAACTACAAACGGGATTCTTTGAAGTTAAAACCTAGTTGTAAAGTTAAATGGAGTTCACTAAGAAACAAACGAGAATCGACAGACGACACTTTTAGTATTTTGTGTGAGAAACGAAAGCGGGTTGCATGACAGAATGGCCTGATGTCTTTCAGAGCAACACAGTTTACTTCCGCCATTGATTTGTTGAAAGCTGTAAATGTCTATCGGTCATCCTTGGATTTCTGAAGCGAAGGAAAAAATTGATGTACTTTATCAGGCCAAGAAATTACCCAACATGGCAAGGAATTGTAGGACATTTTACTATAACTGGCAAACTCGGTGAGAAACCGACTTGTGTGCATCTGCTTCGTCACAAAACCTACAAAAGCTATTGAGTGGAACTTGTATCTGTCCATTTTGAAGCTGCATTGCATGAAACGTGCTACTGGCGTGAGTGCGTTAAGCACAATATGCAGCACAGGGAAAATAGTCTATATCCAGATTATACGGACTGATCTTTGGAGTTTTCAGGCACATTAACCGGTCCACTCATAAGGAATAACAACAGCTATGCTTGAAATTCATGTAAACAAAGCACGGGCAATTCGGCAAGTCGGGCAAGGTATAGTTAATTTCAATTTTACGCAGACTTAAACGTTTCACTTTAATTTTGATGGCATTCAGTACAGCTAAAATCAGTTATCTTGAGTCGGACATCATTCTTAGCAGCGGAGATGTATTTTACTTAACTTCAGTAGTATCTCTTGAAGTTGTCTTCACTCTGCTCCATTGTCGTGATTGAATTGGTTTTGCTCTTTCGTATTATTAACTAAGTACAAATGTCTTGTCGGTAACTATCAAGTTTGTAAGCACATATGAAAAAGCTATTTACTTTGAAATATCATGATGAGGCGAACTAACCTTTACTACTTAGCAATAGCAAGGAAAAATTTTCAAGGCAGATTTACAGATGTCATAGTCGGCTTATTTTTTTCCGATTCTTTAATTCTGATAAAGTTAAAATAGTCTCATTTTAATTTACAAACGCGTTTTTTGCCCTGCCGTTCATGGATTACTAGCTTTTTTCCCCTTTTTGTTAACTTTGTTTTATCTGATCTTGAGCAGAAATTAAAAGTCAGGAAAGCGGTATCACAATATGAACTAAATGTTTCTACTCGATACATTGCTTGCTTGTTACATCTTGTTCTTTTTGTGTTTAAGTCACGCAAACACTTTGTACAGCTCATTTTAGTGAATACCGTGATTCTTATACTGGTATGCTTGTAAACAGCAGTCTACTACGCTGTCATGACACATATCTTTGTAATGCAGAATCATACTAAGCTAGCGAATTCTTATTTTATCACTATGTTAAGTGATTCTTCGATTTCTTGCTATCATTTTGCTTCCTCCAGAGTATGGCAGAAGTCGACGAGATGTCGCGCGTGCAAGGCCGTTTTTAAGCCCTTGTTACTGGGCTTACATATTGTTAAAAAAAGAAAAAACTCGCGCGTGCACCTGCCATACTCTGCAGACTGGCCTCCGTAACCAGCCAAAACCTGTGCAACCGAATATTTTGCTGTTGGTTGCTTTTGCTGAAGTAAACGCTAGATGTTCATATTCCTATTTTATTAATTCAATTGATGAACCCATTTACTTCCTCACAAACGTTGACCATGTTGTAAACCGCTAAAATGATGGTGTTTCCATGGGCGTCCGCATGTCAGAATTTCTGAGAACTGTACAAGTCAATAAAGGTCGGTACACACTAGGCGACAAGTTGCTGCAACACGTCGCGGCGACAGATCACTCCGTGTGTACAGGTCGGGCGACTAGTTGCAGCAACAAGGTGAGGCGACACGTCGCAGCGACAAATCGCTTCGTGTGTACTGGAGAATTTTTGTGAAAATCTTTGTCTCCGCAACAGAATTTTGTCGCTGCAACAAGTCGCAAAAAATCAAATCAGACTGAATCTGTGCGACTTGTTGCGGCGACAAATTCTGTTGCAGCGACAAAGATTTTCACACAAATTCTCCAGTACACACGAAGCGATTTGTCGCTGCAACGTGTCGCCGCGACATGTTGCTGCAACTTGTCGCCTAGTGTGTACCGACCTTAAGAGTTCAACTGATAGGCGCGAATGCAAAAGTTTTTGCGGTATATAATCGGTCTTTCCCTACATCTCTGTAAAGGCAGTTAAACCTAATTGCGTACAAAAGGGTTATGATAAGTTTACACTGATGGTCTTACTTCACTCCTCGCTCGCCAGAGTACGATGTGCGTCAGGAAGAAATCGAAACAACTTTTTTACGATGTCAAGTCTTCTAGCAGCTCTCCAGGAGCTCCAGGTATAAAAGCTGACTTTACACCAGACAGAAATAAACAGAAAAAAGACCGACCTTCAAGTTACTTACGTTTTGTACGATTCTCGTTACTTTTATTTCCCAGCAACATGCATGCACAACCTGATCTCACAGCATTTTTGCTTTGTCTTGTCCTTCTTGTCACATTTTAATATCACCACATTGTACCCTTTTGTCATGGTTGATCCTAGCAATCCGAAGGATGCGTTTCATATACGATTCCAGTCAAGAGTGGGTATGTTCTCTTTATATTCCACGAATCTCTGAGACTCACAGGATAGAGTGCTTGCCTTGCGTATAGAAGGCCACCGGGTACTTGCCAGTCTCGAATAGTAACACGATCGCGACATGGAAATTGTTGCATTCTTATTAAATATCTTAAATAATTTCGATTTTGGTCAAAATTTAACAGTGCTGACACAGTCGAATTTTTAAGCAAAGCCATTTCAAGATCTCTTGGTTTCGCTCTTTAAAGACGCGGGATATAAATCTCGATGGCAATTTCCCATGCAATGCTTCACCATAACTTTGGGGCTCACTTCGGCAATAAAAGTGTATTAAATTAAACCTACCGGTTGTTGATCGTTGTTGTTCCAGTAGTGGCACAAAAACTACTACTTTGGTAACTCATACTTGCAAGAGTCCGCTACTCTTTAGTACAAGAATCCTATTAACCTCCCTTCAGCTCAGCTTCCCCCTCTCCGCGGGTCTCCCCTCTCAACAACAAGTCCAGAAATGCAATATTCTATATGTTCAAGCTTTTTATACTCAGCAGAAGTGTTTACGTCCGGCGGGAAAGTACAACGTCAACCGACCAATCATAACACTATTTGTAAGGATCGCTGCTTCTGATTGGCTCGCTAATCGGAGTATCTTGGCCTGCGTATCAGTTCGCGTATGATGACAGTTTGGGTTCGGCTTAATAGGGTTCGGCGCGTGCTGTCTAAGTCATATTACTTTAAGCAGGTGGTCTGTGCACTACGATGAAATAATAATGAGTTGGAGGTAGCACATCCACCAAGTGGTTCTTCGTCTACCTGAATCCTGGTCGAATTGGAATTTGGGAATGTTGGTTTTTGAGGAGAGGGAAAAACCTTAAGGAAAACCAGAGTACCTGGGGAAAAACCTCTCGGCGCAATGCATTGTGCAGGCAAAATTTTCAAGATGGCGGCGAAGGTCGAGAAATTTCGCAGGTTATATGCTTTGTTTTTCAATAGATATAGTTCTTTCCTTACATCGTTTTTCTCAATTTCATAAGCTAATATTTGTTTAGATTTTTTCTGTGAAGAAAAACAAACCTTTATTCTTCATTTCAATCTAAAACGTGAGACACGAAGATTCCTCCTGTAAGAGCATGAAATTCGAACCCGGTTTTTTAATTTTAAGAAGCTATAATTTCCATAATATCATAGGTGACGAATTACTCCTTAATTTTGGCGCGAAATTTCAGCGTTTATACTACTACATGAGAAATTTCTGCTATTTGATTGGCTTAGAGCAGTGGTATTTCAGCTTAATTTGAAATACCTACATGTGAAAATTACAAACCTTTTGTGGGTAGTAG